ATGAAGGCTCTTTCCAGCCTAGGGCTCTGATAGATACCCAAAAGAGGTCTTGATATTAAAATCAATAAAACCACTTATCGTAATAACTGCCATGACTTGATGCTATCAAATTCTGGGATCTGTAGTTTTGTGAAATAGTTAGCCTTCTCTTTCAGAGAGCTCTGCATTAATTGTGCAGCTCAGAAGCAGCCACAGTCACCCAAAATACTATCCATTGGAGATTTTCACAGCGCTAATTAAACTGGTTTAGCTGAGCTGGCTTAAATTTTAAAACAGGCAGCATCCTGATTTTATCACAAGGATTAGATGCTGAAATCGCCACCTGGATATAGCCCGGGTCCATCACCACTCCCAGGGCCACTCCGGCCACCATTTCCTTAAGCTGGAAAACTCCCAGCTTCAAATAAAGCCACGCTGAGCAGCCCTGGGAGTGTGGATGGACCTGGGCTGCACCCAGGCAGTGATTTTGGCAGCAAAATCCTTGTGATAAAATTAGGATGCCACCCACTTTAAATTTTAAGCCAGCTCAGCTAAACCAGTTTAATTAGCACTGTAATAATCTCCATTGTTTAAGCGCAGGTGATTCACAACAATATACTGATTCTGGGGAACATCTATTCTCTCATCCATCCCATCCAAGCCACCGTGTGAGTTGCAATTAAGGACAGAGGAAATGGGGAGCTTAGAAATGAGACAAAAATGATGTTGTCATCCTTGATAATTCAGCAGTGTGAGCCCTGTTTCCACTTCTGTTTCTCCCAAAACAAAACTCAGAATGCAGAACATGCAGTATTTTGGCACTTGTATCAGTCAGTGTTCCTAAGGCTTAAATAGCCCAAGAGATTAACCCCCTGCCCTTGTTAACAGTCCTTGACTGATTGCTGCATCAGCTACTTAGAATATTATTACATTTCTGGCAGTTTCTGATCAGCATATTGAAGTAATGTCAACCTAAACACTAACTGAAGGCTGCTTAGTAGCTTATCCCTGCATGCGTGGACACACTGCATCAGGAGAACCTGATCTGATAAGAAATAGAGCAAGCAGGGTAGAAAATTGTTTATGAAATTTTTGTGGCAAACAAAAAGAGGTTTTATGCTCTGTATTTCAAAGCATTTGCATGTTGACTTTCCTCATCTGGACTGTGAAATGGAGTTTTATAGAAAATGGCTCCCTCAATATGAGAATGTTATTTTAGGTTTGGGAAGGGAGTTCAGGATCAAAATAAGGTTCAGAAACACATTACTGAATATCTTTGGGATTAAATTGTAAGACACTCCCTCATGTTTCCGAAAAGATGTTCCTCTGGTATTGATGGTCTTAAACCTGTAGTACCATATACTAATCCCAGAATTCCATGACAGTTGAAGCAGTGTCAAACTGCATTATTTCTGCAGTGTAGATGCAGCCTGAGATAGAAATACAAGCTGATAGTGATTCCTTTGTCAGTAGGGCAGTCAATCTATTCCATGTTTTAGATTTAAACCAGCTATCCAAAGGGCCTGAGCCCTAACCGTGAAATAGGACCAATATGTTGAAAAGCCAGTGTGGTGGAATGCTTTGAGCATTGGACTATGACTCTGAAGACCAGGGTTCAAATTCCCATTCAGCCATGGAAACCAACTGAGTGACCTTGGTCAAGTCACAGCCTCCTGGCAAAGGCAAAGACAAATTTCCTCTGGACAAAAGTTCCCAAGAAAACCCCATGATAGGATTGCCTTAGAGTTACAATGACTGAAGGCACACAATAACTTCACTGGACAGTGCCTCTAAAAGTTGGATCAAAATCACCGCTGTTTATAATAAACTACCACCCCACTGATATGGAAGTACAGCTGGGACCATCATGAAAAACAAAAAAATTATCTAGGTCTTCTGCAACCCAGTTCTGTCCATTTCCATGGGTATTGTTGGTTGGATGAAAATGCATGTATTGTTATTGAAAACAGATTCCCTATTAAAAATACAGAAATTTTGATCCATTGTGCTCTGGACACCATGAGGGCAATACCATGCTGTTCATCCACTAGCAAGTTAACATTTTAGGGAGATGCAGTTTGAGATCACAGCTTTTTCAACCAATTAAAATTATTTGTAGCAAAACATAATTCCCATTATGGTAGAGGATTTTCTTCTGTGGGGGTGGGGGATGGAAACAAGGTTATGTTTTAAAAGCTTAAGCATTTCATCATGACAAGGAAATGTAGGAAGGAAATGTACCTGGCATAGCAAAAGTTCCCTAAGCATCAATTTTGGCTGCTTGATCTTAACCAACTATTAAAGGGTTTAGAGTTTGTGTAAAATGTCTGACTGAGGGCTCTTTCAGCTGTAACACAGATCTGCTTCTTACGAGCAGTGGGAGACCTTCCTTCAGCTCAGTTTGCAATCAGCTCCATATTTCTGAGCTTGCCAGGTGAGATCTCATTTTTTTTTTCCATGAGAAAAGAAAAATGGCCTTTTTCACTACTACCATCACCACTGTTAGTAATGTTAATGCATGCATATTGATAGCACCACACTGATGCATCTCTCTGCATAGCTCTCAGAAAGTCAGGTCTAATCTGCACTGCAGAAACAACACAATTTGACAATGTTTTATCTGCCATGACTCAATGGTATGGATTTCTGAGGTCTGTAGTCTGTTTAATCTCTTTTGTTTTTTTAAAAAAAATAAGTTTCTCCCTTTCATTGGTTTGAACATTATTTGTAATTTAATTGGTTTTGAAATGTTAGTTCCTACAACTGCATCCAGTAAAGATTATCTGCATTTTTGCACAGTTACAGCAGACTGAAGGACTATTCAAACGTTTTTGTTAGCATGACTATGGGGCTCTGCAGATGGTGCAAAATGCCATCTTGGAGCCAGGGAAGGGGAGGGGCAGCCAGATGCCGGATGCTGGATGCCCCAACCCCTTCCTGAGGATGTCCTCCTGACCCAGCCTCTGCACGGGCTGAGCCAGAAGAGATGCAGAAGAGAAATACGACAGCTCTTCCAGCGCCCTTTCTGGGGCCTGAGGAAGGAGCACTATTTTAGCGCTCCTTTTCCAGGCACCAAAAAGGTGGATTGGGGCCGAGGTGTGGAGCAGCCTCGGCCCCAATCTCCGCTTCACAGGGCAGCCCACGGCTGCCCATCTGCAAAGCCCCTATGCGAATAATCTCACTCACACGTTCCAGTTTTGTTGTCCACACAATTTTGTTTATTAGACTCTGCAAGTTCTGTTGCTCACAGGTGTCCGCACTGTGAATAAAGATGGAGTCAATGATGTGGATGTATTGAGAATACATTAAAGGCATGCAGAGTTTTATGCCAATTTATCCTGGGTTTATTCACATTGGTTATTCACACAGCCAACAACATGAATCTTTTAGGGGAAAAAATTAAAAATCCCAAGATCTAAAACTTTAGTGGATGCTTTTGAAATGCATGTGAACAACCGAGATGTATCCCATATTCATTCAGGATTTTTTTCACCATCTGAATAACCCCTGATAGTATTTTAACTGTCATGGTTCTGTCCTAAAACAGAAGGAAGAAAATAAACAACAAATTAGGGAGGAAATTAAAAATTATTT